AAGTACAGACATTCTGCATTTAAGTAGAAATACAGGTACTAGTCTTTAGAATACTCCAGTAAAGGTTGAAGCACTGATTCAACTGATTCAAGTATAAGTGAAAAGTACAAGCTCTGAAATGTACTCAAAGTAAGAAAGTAAAAAGTTGTTCTTTAGAGGACGTTTCTACCAGCTATGTTTGTACAAACCCCGATGAACTTTGTGCTATATTAAAATAATAAAGACAGTAAAATGTTATTACATCAATAAAATTCGAAGTTTTAAGGGAATTTGGGGTAAAGGAAGTGAAACTGTAAATGTTCCATTGGTGACCCTTCCAGTAAATCCGCCCAGCATTAAGGCAATGAACCTTTTAACTAAGGCTGACAAACAAGAAATGGTGACAGAGAAAACTGAGAAACAACAATAACAACAGTGAGAAGGAGCCACCCTACTTGTGACCAGCCAAAAATTGCACTGTCAGAACGATGGTTCCCCCATTCACTTCTTTAATTTTTTAGCAAAGATGTTTACCAGACTTAAGTTATTGACTTTGTTCTAACACCTGTTTTTGAGGCCGCAAAGTTCTGTAGAGTCAAGGTGGAAAACTGAGGAGCAGGGAAAGAGAAAACCGGCAAAGCAGCATGCCACCGGCAGTCTGTCCAGGTTCTGCCACAAGCCATTAAAACAAATGCCCCGTGTTCATACAGGGTTAAATGGTGGAACAGGGAACTCTAGTTCTTGTCCGGTCAAAGTTTTTTCCCTGCGTCAGGAAGATGGGATGGCTCGTCAGATGATTTGAAGAAGAGTTTGGTAGCTGAAAAGTGATGGGTCTTTTGAATGTCACAATTGTTGGTATTTTTAATATCATGATCAATATTGTAGTTTTATTTATTGATTGGTGTTATGTGTTCAGTTTGGTACATTTTGAAAGTGTTAAGGTTTATATGGCAGCATGGACAAAGCAAGTCTGGGGGCCAGCTAGGACACAAGTGGCACGGGACCTGCTAGCACGGTCTCTCGCGGCTCGGACATATAGGCTCAGGTGGTGTTGCATCCTCACGCCCAGGTGCTGACATGGAACTGGAGGCAGTGGTGAAAACCCATGCAGGGATGTTAACTGGTGATAGTCACAGTTTAACTTGGGCAGCTTCCTCCTGCTTCCTATAACAAAACATTGTCACATTATTTTGTGCAATATAAGCAAACTTGTCATTGTAGAGCACGTGGAGCTGATCAGTGTCTTTACGGCTCTCTCTCTTTCTCTTTTACCAAACCCAACTTTCCATTGAGCCAGTGGTATCAGAAGGAAAATGTCAACTTGTGATTTATGTCACAGAAAAAACTGAGGTTCAAGCCAAACAGTTGTAAATATTTTGAATCTGCATGGTTCCAACCATCTGTTCTCTTCTGATGATCCAATTCAGGGTGTGTCTGTGTCTGTGTGTGGCAATTTAGAATCACCAGTTCACCTAACCTAAATTGCATGTCTCTGACCTGTGGGAGGAAGCCAGAGTACCCAAAGAATACTCATGAGGACACAGGGTGAACAGGAAAACTTCACACAGAAAGGCCCCTGTCAGATAACAAGGGCCTTCTTCCTGTGAGGTAACAGTGCTAACCACTGTGCCACGATGCTGCCCTGAGCTTCATATGGCTTGCACGTTTATCTTAAGATTATATGGTCACTTATATTTTTTCATATCCTCTGCCTACATTGTGTCCACACAATAAACTCTTTGGCATTGTACAAGAAATTGTCATAGCAATGCTCGTGGCGTATGTGGTGAGATCCTGTTAGCACACTAATGCTTGTAAGTGGGCAAAGAAAGTCACTTGTCGTGCTCAAGAGAAATGCAGAAAAAGGAGTTTCACATTTGCAGTTTATGCAGATACATAGGTGTCAATAACATCTGATAGCAATGTGAAATATGCTGATTCAAAAAAATTGTTAATAAAGTTTATTTTTAAAGAAGGCCTGTACCACAATGCAGGATTATGGCTCATACAGGTAACTTTGGTGTTACATGGGTTTTGTATTGCCATGGTAACTAATGCTCAAAGCCTTTTAAGCAAATCCTGTATACTATGCAAATCTGGGCCAATTTTAATGCAATGAAAAATTTCTGAATATTGATCAATCCTTCCTGCTTTCTCATATTAGATTGTAGTGCCTCTATGTGACAGGATAACAAACCCCTGCGTTAAATTTAACAACTGAATTAAAAATACATTTTCAGATTAAACCTCAGACATGATGCACACACTCAGTTAATCAGAGAAAAACCTTTTCTTCCTTACCGGCTTAACAATTTTCACATAAAAAAAGAGCAAAGAGTATAAAAGAACGTGACCTAAATGCAGAAGTTAAAGGTTTTGGCATTGCCATGACATTCAGGAAATCAAACTGTGGGTGTGACATTTTCAGAATATTTCTTGTCAGGTTTCTATTTCTACAAAGCAAAGCAAAGATGGGGATCCTTCAGAACCTGCTATTCACCATCTGCAGTAAGTTGTTTAAATGAGTAGATAGTAAACAGATGAAGACCAAACGTAGATGTAGATTAATCTGTAAATATGTTTTGGTAGTGCAGAGCAGAACACAATGCCTTCTGTTGATCTCAGCCCTTTGTTTATGCAGCAGTAACAATGCTATTATAAATGTTGATGTGACAAAATAAACAATATTTTTTTTATACTGTCTTTTCTTTGCAGTTGCTCTGAGATGTGTGACCAGTGCAGAAGAGGTGATCCATGTGACTGGATATGTGGGGAGTATGGTTAACGTTTCCTGCTCCTATGATGAAGGTTACGAGTCTTATGAGAAGTATCTGTGTAAGAACGACTGTGGCAACAGTGATGTTCTTATTACAACATCGGAATCAAGGAAAAACAAATACAGGATCCATGATGACAAAACAGCACGAATCTTCACAACAACCATCTCTGATCTTCATTATACGGATGCTGGGAAATACTGGTGTGGAGTGACCGGAAATGGGAAAGATATCTACACTGAAGTCAAGCTGAAGTTAGGTGAATAAAATAATTCTTCTCAAAATGTAGTTATTTGAATTCAAGTCAAATTCATATGTAAGAGACATTTGTGACTGTAAAGGGTAAAAGGTGACAACAGATAAAATGTAACTGGCAAAGGATTATTTCTTTTTTCTGTTGTAAATATGACCTGATAATACTGATGCGATTGATGGTTCAGTTTGGTTGATTTTTTTCTTAACATCCCATACAGAAAATCTTGTTGCAATAAATAAATATAATCATCATATCTGTTCTGTGGCTGTAACACATTTTCTGATGCCGTCCGCATTTTTGACAGACAGCTGCTGTGACACTGTGACCAAAATTGAAAGTTATGAGGGTTACTCTGAGTCCATCGTTTGTCTGTTCGAGTCTCAGTACCAGAACAGCCTGAAGTACATCTGCAGAGGAAATCGGCCCTCCACATGTCTGCAGCAGGCACTGATCACCTCTGACACCAAACAAAATGGACGATTCAGACTTGACGATGACAAAGTGTCTGGAACATTCACAGTAAACATTAGCAGTTTGACTCATAATGATTCAGGGTCATACCTCTGTGGTGTTCAAAGAAACTCTGACGTGGATGTTTTCTCTGCTGTTGAGCTGAAGGTCAAAGGTGAGAGGTTATAATAATATTTAATTAAATAAGCTGAAAGGAAACACTTTCCTCTAAAAGAGTCTTTAATAAATTTGAATATTTTTCTCTTTCACTCTCCACAGAGTGGTGCTGTGTCAAGTCAATTAAAATAAAAGGTACTGTTGGACAGCCTCTAGCTTTGCAGTGTCCTTATCCTCCACAACATCGGGACAAAGGGAAGTTCCTCTGCAAGGGAGAGCAGCTCAACAGCTGCAAAGACATAACCAGTCAAAGCAGGTTCAAACTTGAAGGTAATGGTTCTTTCAGCTCTTTCTCTGTGGTGATCACAAAGTTGGAAGAAGCAGATGCTGGGACATACTGGTGTGGGTCAGACTCAGAGAGGATGCCTGGAAACTACACCAAGATTCAGCTTTCAGTTGGTGAGATGAACACATTTAAATGAAAATAAAATTAACAGAATTACATCTTTTTTTCATTCCACATTAACTGTTTAAACATAGTCTGTGTATGCTGGTTCAATTGTTTGTGGTGTGAATTATTAGAAAACTGCCAACTAAACTGGAGGACTTCGATTGATTTTCTTCTTTTTTGTTTTGTTTTGTTTGTTTGTTTGTTTGTTTGTTTGTTTTGACTGCCCTTTTTGTTACTTTCCACTGTCTTGGTTGTATGTTTTGTTTTGTTTTGGGGTTTTTTGTTTGCTTGTTTGCTTCCCCCCTTTCTTGATGACAAAACTGTAAAAAGAAAGCGACGTCAGCTTATGGGGCGATTTGTAATTGTTATTTGTGCTTCACAATAAAAATATTTGAAGAGAATTTAAAAAAACAAATAACAAAAAAAACCTGCCAACTCAGTGTTTCATGTGAAGCTGGCTTCTTGCTGGCATCAGTAGAGACACAGCCTCCCAGAAGTCCTATTTAGCCATATTATTGAAATATCAATGCCTAATGTGGCAGTAACAAGCAATGTGACAACCAACCCCGGTCTATTGTACATAAAAATACGTAAACATTATGTAAAAATGATTTAAAAAATAAAAATAAAAACAGGATCACTTTTATATGTAAAATACATTATGAAACACGGGGGTAATTTGTGAAAAGTGTCAGATTGACCCCAAAATAACTGCAGCTCTACGGTTCTGAAGGGGATGGCTGTCAGGACACTGAAACTATTTATACAATTGAAATAAGATTGATGTATTAAAATAACGTTGCTAAGAGTATTTTTCTCCAACAGTCTTTCTCCAGCACACCAGCACTCTACCTTCTGCAGTGGAAACGCTTGGAAAAACATCAACACAAATTCCCAGTAATTCTATTAAAAGTACAGTATATACAATATGTATCTTTCAGTGTGTACTTCTGACGGTCAGTGTTGTGAGTTATGGTTATTTTTTGGAAAGTAGTGAATGTAAGTCATACCAAAATGATCCCGAGTGTCACAACTGCTGTGGGTTTGCGCACTAGTAAACCACAAAAAGTGTCCCTGAAAGTGTGAATGTTTCAGGATGTTTATATTTTTACTCCTTTCTGTTTTTTCTTTCTGCTTTTCAGATGCAAGACACTATGTGGTTTACACTGTTCCTCCCCTGCTGCTGCTACTGATGTGTGTTTTTGCGGTTATAGTTCATAAGTGCAAACATCAGAAAGTAAAAGGTATATTTTGCATTCACAGGCATGCAAAAATGTACTTTAATGTCCATGGAAAAAGAGGATAACCATGTTTTATGCTTTGTGTTTTCAGAAGATGAAGTTGTCATGAACAAAAATGCACAGAACGAAGACGCTTTAGAGGAAGTGACAGATGCAGCAAAAAAATAACGTAAGAAAACTAAAGTCCAAAACCTTAAGAGTGTCCTCTATTTATAACAAGCCTTATTATAAACAAATGGAATAACGCAACAAATTTATTTTATTGTTAGCTGCGATCAGTGCAGTACTGTGCAAAAGTCTTGAGCCACCCCGCAATTTCTGTGTATTTTGCTTCCCGAGTATCCAGAATTTTGTCATTTTTTAAAGTTCTCCAATATTTTTCTTCGAACACTGGCTGCTTACTTATTTTCAGTCCGGTTTTTGTGCCTGAGTATTTCAAGAAGAAGAACCTTTTGCTAAGCCACCTTGACCCATTTGCTGCTTAAAAGGCCTCACAAAACATTTTTTTATGTTTAAGCCAAGAACTTACAATGAATTTCAATGTTCAACACAAACGTATTATAAAATGATGAAGTAATAAAATTTCTAATCGTCATCATTACTATCACATCATAGTATTATGTAATGTATTTGTAACCATTATTGAATATAATGAATCAGAAGCAGGCAATAACTGTTAACATTTATCACGGATAGTGATTGGATTATAATAAACTAAAATTGGAGGAACTGTATGAGCGAGAGGTGTTCAAAATGTTGGATTACTGTGTGTCAGTTAATGCACACACAGATACACCACACAAACTTTTATTATAATTCCGCTGAAGTCTTCATATTGAGTGTGCATAGATGTGGTTTTACTGTTGTATTCACTTCTGACAAGACAATAATCTTAATTTTACAGTGGTGCTAACGTAGGAAAGATATGAACAACACATGATGATGTGTTGTTCATTGGTCTCTGAATAGATCTATGGAAATCAAGAAGTTGTGATGTGTAAGGAGGAGACGTCCAGACAACAGAGATGAACCAAACTATGAAAACAGAAGAAATCTACCTGAATAAAAATGTCCATGAAGCCAATAACAGATAAACAGAACATGCATTTGGGGTCAAACAGTGGATCTCACCTGTATAGAGATTATCCTGTTTAATTTTCTTTAATGCCAAGAAATCTTAGAATAATCAGCTTTCTCACGGACTCACTGAACACTTGGCAGTGTGTGTGAAATAACTGCTTTTTATGCATATATAGCTTCACTTCTTACTTTTTTGCTGTTGTCTCTATTCTCATGTTTATTGCTTAGTGTTAACAAAATGATCTGCACTGATTTTCTCAAACTGTGAAAAGCCTCAAATGTCAAATGTAAACATGAGTGTCAAGTGAATAAATCAGCAAAGAAAAATGAAACTTGTTTGTTTTGCCCTATTTTACCATAAACTGCCACATTTTCAGAGTCTGTGATTTCCAGGTAATTGACTTGAGACAGAGCAAGTAAAAATTACTTCCTTGTGACTGTCAGCAAAACAAAAGAGATGGTCGTTGACTTCAGGATGGAAAAAACAGCGACTAAAGCCACTACAGGTACTTGCACGGTTACCTGAACAGTAATACTGTGTAAAACAAGGGGATAATCCCAACTCTGCTTTCTAATGAAACTCTACTTCTCCGTCTTACAGTTATATTATCAACCTATTACCCGGGGCAACTGTGCTCACTAGCCGACTGTACAGGTTGTCAAGACCTGAAAGAGAAGTAATGGAAAAGTACATTAGTGATTCCCTTGCTGCTGAAATCATCTTTGTCCATCTTGGATTAAACCTGCCCAGTAAAAGTTACCCTAGAACATGAACATGCTGGAAGACATGGAAAACACTGTGAATGTTTTCCATGTCTCCCAGCTAAAACCTGTCCTGACCACTCCGTTGGCTCCTGACCTTTTATTACATGTATAAGAGGCCCTGACCTGACTTTTCCTTATGCTCAGATTTTGGCTGGAAACTTCTCTCACACGGAATGGTGAGCTGGCCTTGTGCGGAATGAGCCAGAGGATTGGAAATTTTTTGGAGTGTGTGGAAAGCCTTTGATGAGATTGTGCTGTTACTACTGTTTTGACCCTTTTGGAGTACTGTCTATTTCCCTGTAAATAGATGCATTGCCTTTGACTTGGAGTCCTGTGTTTGAATCCTGCTTGCACCTTGGTCCCTTGA